GATAGACGGTACCTCTAAAATGTGTTGAAAATGAAGTCAAGCGTTGACCGGCTGTAACTAGCAGGCAGAAATCGAGCAGTTGCTTGCAAGATACACATACGGTTAACCGGATGTACCCCCTTGGAAAAGGAGAGAATTGCTTGAAAAGTACCTAGGTGGTCCTCAGAAGTTCTCCTGTTTGTTAGACACACGGACGGTAGACCGACTGGATCTAGCTGAAAAAGGAGGCAGTTGTCTAGAGGATACCCAAGCGGTTCAGATTATTCTTGTTTATGAGCTACACAGACGGTATACCGGCTGTGTCAAGCGGAAATAGCAGGAAAATTGTGGAAGACAAAGGCAGGCGGTTGTCAGAGTTTCTCTCTCTAGCAACGGTTGACTCTCTTTCTAAATTTTAGAAATATCCGAAAAAAGAGGAGGGTAAAATGCTATTTAAGGAAGGGTAATTTCAAGGGCATCCCCGTAATTTCCCCAGAAGGTAAACATTTAAAGCTGTTCACCAATGCTTGTGTGACAAGTGTCACAGATGTCACGTGGCACGCCACGTCACCCCTGTGAGGGGCAAATGTTTCAAGTAAAAATACCCTGGCCACGTGGCCCAATCAGAAGGTGACACGTGTCACCCTAAGAGAGGTTCTAAATGAACCAATCCCAAGTTAACACGTGGCACTAGAAGTTAGCAAGGGAAAATGACGGCCTTCAAAGCCCAATTCCCGAGACAGCCCATTACTCCTAGGTTTCGTGACCTAGGATAGTGGCACGGATCTCACGACCCTATAAAAGGGAGATGTATCCCACCTAGGGAACACGAGGAACACATTCATACATTCATTAATTCTCACGACATAGAAACCCGATCTCGGAATCTGAGAAGATATCACTTTACCTTCCGCACTTTTTACATACTCCATACGCGTTCTAACTTGATCGTCGGAGGCGAAACTCCACCCAACCGGAGTCTCCGTTGTTTTGCAGGTACAGGCGCCCGGAATCCAGTTTAGGTGTTGTAACTCTTCCGAGGGACAGAAAATCCTAAAACAGCTACGATAAAATATAGTCAAATGGAATCTTAATTGTATCATCTTAATATACATATTTTATTAATATCCACTTTTTATACAATGTCGAGAATTAGAGATATCTATACTTATATATTAAAAAGCGTTCCTAAAAATATTTATGTGCCACGTAGATTTGCACTAATATTGCGCCACGTCACCATTAACTAGCATTGTGCCACTTCACCACTAGCATTGTAACAATTATTCCATGTCACTATTAATAAGAAAACAATATCCCACAAGTTTTGAACATGTGACCTCTTAGACATGAGATTACATTATTACCATCTTAGCCAATAGTAATTCATGTCATTTATATACACATAAATCAATATATGTTACGCACAAAAAAGGGATAAAAAATAATTATATAGCCTCGAAAATACATAGGAATAGCCTTAACAAAATAAAGACAATGTTAAGAGATTTTTTTTACCAACATTTTGTTTCAAAGTAGTAAACCGGTACGCAACGCCAGGGCCTCCCATTAGTTAATAGTTAAAACAATGCATTGGCAAGCGTGATAAAAGAAAAGTGTTAACTAAATGAAAACGAAGGTAGTATGTAATATTACCCTTTTTCCCTATATTATTATGTTTGGGTAGCAACTTGAAAGAGAAATGGAAGGGGATGGGAAAAAGAGGAAGAGGAGGGGAAGGAAATAGAGGGAGGAGATATGGAGCTTCACTTCCCTTCAAATTTTCTAGTTTTGGAGAGATAGTGTTAGTTGAAGAGGGAGGGAAAATGGATCGCTCCTTCCCTTTCCCCTTCTTTCCTACAAATCTTTATCCAAACAAAGGGATATGTTTCCTTTCTTTTCCCTTCCCTCCCTTACTCTCTATTTTCTTTTATCCAAGCAATATTAAGAGCCGAATGAAGTTCATAAATCGGTTGAATAAATGAAGCTCATGTCTTGCAAAAATAATTACTTTTTTTTTTTTAATAAATATTAATTTTATTCGGATTTTGTAATAAAAAAGAACAATAATTTATGAATACTAAAGATATATTATGAGCATAATAAAAAGTCATTAAAAAGCAGCCTTAAGGTTTTACTTTACAATTTTTTTTTTAGAAAAATAAGTAGTATAAGTTAATCCATTCATTCCTTGGCCTAAACGTAGGTCTTGTTCTCTTCGACTTATATTTTTGTTGAAGTAAAATTATTTATAATGATATTAAATTATTTTTGATGAACTGAACTTAAATTATTTTTGCTAAATTAAAATATTTTTACTGAACTGAAATTATTTTTACTGATTCCCAGCTATATTTGTTTTTTAAAACTTATTTTTACTAAAATTGTTGAAATTATTTTTGTTAAACTGAACTTATTTTTACTTAACTAAAATTATTTTTAATGAACAAAAAATATTTTTACTGAATATTACTATTTTAAGGTAAAGAGAACAAGGTCTTAATTAGTTTCAATTTAGCTTTGCTAATTGTGTTTAATAAAATATAGAACCAAAGTTAAGATTATGGTTTTTTTTTTATATTTTTTTTATTGCTTCCTATCCAATTTTCATAAATAACAAATTTGATTAGATTTAATTCTTCCAATTTTCTCATAAGCTTGTATAATACTCCCTTCATTTTGAATAATTAACACACTTTTTAATGTCCACACATTATTTATAAGAGTTTACTTAAAATTTTAAAATGAATCATGTAAAACTTAAGTTTCAAGACTTGTATTGCTATTATAGGCGAACCAATCTATTTTTTAATCGTACTATATTATTTTTATAATCAAATTTCGTCAATAAAAGGCTAAAAAATTTGCAAAGTAATTTAATTTTGATTTTCTAATTAGATCAAAGTAACAAAATTCTAATTCAGGATGGATTGGATTGGATGAGAAATTCAAATCGAAATAGATTAGGAGATTAAAAACCGAATTATATTTTATATCGGATTGAAATTGTACTAAATCCAAACAGAAAACCGGACACTTATAAATTGCTTAGTTTGATCGACAAGTCTGCCAACGCAAAACTATCTTTAATTATCATTAGAAATATAAAAAATTGATATTTGAAAACTATACATTGAGATTATCTAACAACTACCAATATTGACTGTATATTTATTCCTATGTGTAAATTAAAGAAATAGCGAAGGTCAAAGTTTCGGGTACGCATGTACCTGGGTTGGGTCCGAGTATGTCAGGTCGATCAGATGTATTTCAAAGTTTAGTCATGCTAAGTTATTGTGTCCATGCGAGTCGAAATCTGAATCAAGTAATTTTTCGGGTTAGCTAGATTGGGTTAGGACAGCTTTTGACACTATAATCAAAGTGGTACATGTGAATAGTGTGAAAGTTAAATTAGGACATTTGATTTAAAATGGAGGGAGCAACCATCCGTACTTCATATTGAGAGCTCTCAATCCATAAGGATGACAACCTATTTTTTCGAAGTATACACACACTATCAGAAGGGGATATTGAGAAACTACGCCAAATTTTGCCTCCAAATAAGAAGATAAAAAAAGGGACTAAAATATCAATTCAAAAGAAAAAGTAAGAGGAATGCATATGTTAGTACTCACTCCGTTTCATAATATTAACAACACTTTAACTGACACACATGCCAATATACAACTTTGACCATTAACATTTGTAATTATATATTATTAAGAAGAATTAAAGGTTAATATAATGAAAATATACTTAAAACTAATCTAAAATATTTTACATGTACATGGCATCATATGTTATTTATTTATTATTTTTAATTAAATATATTGGTAAAATATATAGTCAAAGTAAGCATATGATCGAATAGTGTAAAAATCAAAGTGTTGCGATTGATAAATAAGTTCGTAAGAATGTATATTTACTTCGTATATATTTAATCTATAATATACTTAGTATAATCTATATCATATTAAAAAAAACGTTCTTAAGAATGTATATGTACTCCGTACCACAAGACACATTCTTTTGTAGAGTTGTACTACAAACATAACATACCACATCATCGTGACATTGTACTTCATCAAAAACCGAGAAAATACAAGTTTATCCTCATGATAAGTAAAAGGATGTTTATGTAGTAACATTTTTTTTAATAAATCAACAATTTTTTATTAAATGTGGGCCTATGAATATTGATCTATTTATAGAAATACAATGCTGACTGAGATTTTATGTTGATTTATTTTCATACCACTAGATAAACATTTTTGTTTATCACAAAGATAAACTGAGGCTTCCTCTGAAAAATCATACAATTGCACGAGTATTGTCCTAGTTAGATGGTCTAAAGTTGGAGTAGTCAACTGAATTGAGTTTCTCGTTTGTATAAAATGAAAGGAAGGGCTACAACAGTGACCTTCTCTTACCTTGTCACTTCACACTGCTGTAAGAGAGAGAAAACCAAAGAGTAAAAGAGACGCATAGGGAAGAAAATTGCAGTGCCTTTCTTTCAAACAAGTAAATTTCTACAAACTATGGTTGGTAATTTAAGGAAAATTAATTGCTTAATTCTACAAATTAATTGCATGCATGATAACGTGATGACTATGATGATATTCTTGCACATACTTAGTGTTGATCGAAATTTGTGTTCAATTGTTGTGAAAGAAAAAGGTTTTTATTTGTTAATTATACTTCAATGGATTAAAGTAATTGAAATTCTACACATTATTCCTTAAGTTTTTTGAAAAATGATTTTAGCACTACTATTTGTTTTTTAGTTGATTTTTTTGGTATAGGGAGATTCATAACGGAGAATGATGTAAATATACCACCTCTAATACTGTTTTAATTAACTAAGCAAGTTGACTTTAGAGTAAAAAAATGCGTTCTTGAAGTAGAGTGTTGTTATTTACTTTTATACTACGTATTAGGTTGCTTATTTACATATTTACTTTTTTCTCATATAATTGTTATTTTTTCTCTTGTTTTCTTAGTTGTAAATTTGATTTTCTGTGGTTCAAAAAAAGAAACTTCTATGACTAATGATATTATTTTTTGCTGGTTTGATATTCATACGATCTTGAGATTATTAAGAAAAATCTTAATTTTTAGGTGGCCTTGTAAAATTAGTTTGACTTGTTAATGTTTATCTTTTTCACTTTTGAGATGGTCATTTTAAAAATTTGAGAAAATTCCGTTCTAATCGAACTTTTTTTTTTGGTTTTTTAAAAAAGATGAGTTAAACTTGTGATCATATATTCATGTAAACTTTTCCAAATAGATAGTTATAATTAGTTCAAATTACACAGTGCGACAATTAGGCTATAATCAGACCAGATCTTGTCTTTTTTATTTGCATTTGGATTTCGTTAAACGTTTTTAATTTCATTTGTAAACAAAGCAAAATTTGATGGACTAGTGTAGTAGTGTAAAGGGTGAAGGACAATTTGTAGCTGTGTTCATAATAGTAGTGGGAAGATTGAGTTCTCTTTAAATCAAAAAAATTCTGTTATATTTTATTATTTTGGTTATGTTTATTTATTTATTTATTTATTTTTATTTTTTTTTTGTTTTTTTTTTTTGATATTTGATATTTTTGGAATATATAAATATACGAGCCTTGTGAGTCTGAATAATGATGTTCTGAAATAAGGATTGCATTAGTATGTTTGTTATTTCTGCTTAATTCTGAAAATATATCTCAATGATACTGTTATTATAGCTGGTGTGTCGTTTACAGGAATTTGCGGATCATCTAGATTGAGAAAACTGCAATCATGTCCCCAACTTCAGTTAGTCTTTGGGATGTGCCAGTGCCAACAAGGCCCCGTTCTTTGCTTCTTCATTGCAAAAGACGCCTGGTTTTTGATGACACAAGTTTGATCAGCAAAAGAAGACGAGCTGATGTAGTAGTATCGGATTTGGTACAGATGACTGTGGCTGGCGATGGTTTAAGTGCACACAAGTGCCTGAAAAATTTACCAGTTCCTAGTATGTAAACTCTACTTCGGATGTTTAATTTTTTAGAACTTATAATGGAGTTACCCAAAGTGACCTCTTTTTGGTAAAAATATGACATGACTTAATTTAAACTATCAATGCATTACATATAGTACTTCGTATATGTATACATTTTGCACTCAGTAGCTTGCTTTAAGCATATGTGACTAAAACATTATAGGGACTAGATCATGATACAATCATGAGGACTAACATGACTTAATTTAAGGTTAAATGAATATAAGTTTTTCATTTTTTTCTGTAGTAATGTAGTCAAGTAAGTGTCCTGCTACCTCTTTTTTTGTCGACCCATCAAGGAGTGACATTAATTTTCCAGACTATAATAGATTTGTGATGTTGTACGTTATAGTATACTTGTATAATTTAGTTAGTGAGTAAACATATACTACCTCAGTGAAGTTTTTCAACTGAAATCCAAGAATGCATGATATGTATAAACTGGTTTGATTCATAAAAGTGTTTTACAGGAACTTTAAAAAATGAGGAGCAAGATGAGCCAAAGGATGAAGAAAGCATTAATGAGTCGGTGGTGGTAGGACCACAGACTCCATTGCCTGCAACGAAAAAGCGTGTTTCACGTAGGGGAGGCTCCCTTACCAACAAACAAAGCCGATCAATATCAAAAGCTGTAATTAATCTTGAGGAAGATAAATTGCAAGAAATTTTAGAATTAGCTGAGAATTCAGTCTATTTCACCCGCTCAATCAATCAACAAGTGTCAAATGCATTTAAATTGGTTGAAGTTCAAGGAGCGAGTAGTACAAGTGCTCAGCTGAAAGGTCATGGCCGAAGGGTCTCTATTGAAGGTAAGAAAAAGTCATATCAGAAAAACTTCAAGGAGACAAACAGGGCCTGGAAAGAGTTACTGAAGAAAGCTATTGCTGAAAGCTGCGAGATATTGATGGAAAAAGATGACAGCATTTTAGCGGATGATGAATTGCAGCTTTTCCATGAAAAGGTGCATTCATTCGCAAGTAAAGTGGGCGCCACTCAGGGTGAGTGAGTACAACTTAGAAATTTTAATTATATTTCTTGATGTTGTTCTTTCATCAGTAAAGCTTTTATAACAAGATATTGATTTACGATAGTGTAGTAAGCATTAATTAGCTGTTCTGCTTACCATATAATGCTTCTTGTAATGCAATGTCAGCATTTTTTCTTACTTTTGACACAGGGAAAAGAGTATACTTTCCATGGAAAGGATCAGTTTTGGACTCGGTTGTTGGTGCATTTTTGTCTCAGAGGGTCAGTGACAAATATTCGAGGTATGCTTATATTTAACTGTACTTTCAAAAACCAATGTGAAGATGGGTGGCAGCAGTAACCTTTTAAATATCTCAATGCAGTTCGGCTTTCATGTCACTTGGTGTGAGCTTTCCCCAGTATCGTGATTGTGATACTTATAGCAGGCACCATAGAATGCTGAGAAAAAAGAGATCAATAGGTGGCTTTTCTTGCCAAAAGCAGGATTTGAAGGGGGGACATTTGAAGTTGGGGGCTGAAAGCGAGAAACCATTTGATGAGAAGAAAAAGGAGACCTTGAGAAAAGGGAAGGCTAGGATTATGGAAAATATTAAGCCTGATTGGGACACCTTGAAGACACAATATTCTAGCAACACAGAGACAGAAAGAAGCATTGATGCAGTAGACTATGTGGACTGGCATGCTGTCAGGCGAGCGGATATGGTGGATATATCCAATGCTATTGAATTGAGAGGCATGAACAAGAAGCTAGCTAAGCGTATCAAGGTATGTTAATTTAGTTCTTAAAATACCTGATAATTTTTTGTCAAAAAAGTAAAGATATAAATGTCTACTTCTGTTATTATTGCAAGTTAATGGAATAATGATTGTAACAATGTAGGAGTTTCTGGACCGACTCTTGAAGGATCATGGAAATTTGGACCTTGAATGGGTACGAACTGTCCCCCCTCTTCAAGCAAAGTAAGGATGACTGCCATTTATTGTTGCATAACCTCTCTGAACCTTTCTTATGTTCTATCTGCACTGCTTGCTAACAAATTTCTTATTTCTAGGGAGTTTCTTCTAAGCATATACGGACTGGGGTTGAAGAGTGCACATTGTGTCCAACTTCTAACACTCAAACAACCTGCATTTCCTGTATGATTTATACAACATGATTAAAAAATCTTTTTTAGTAGGATCATTTTATGAACTTTGACTATAAATTTGATGACAATTTAATTTTGATCAAGGTTGATGTGAATGTGGCTCGTGTGACAGTGCGTTTGGGGTGGGTTCCAGCCCCACCAAATACTAGTGATATGCTTCAGATGTCTGTTTTGGAAGAGTAAGCATGCTCTGCTCTTATTTCTTTGTTGAAACACCACTGATTGCTTTGATAACAAACTTTAAATGTTCTGCTTGTAGGGATTCTAAGCTACATGATTTGATTAATCATTATCTTTTTCCACGGTTATGCAAACTTGACCCAAAGACCTTGTAAGATTTTCTTAACTATCAATTTCATGCAAATAGACTCAATACTTTCTTATACTTTACGCTTATTTGTCTTTAGGTACGAACTTCATTATCACATGATTACATTTGGGAAGGTAATTTTAGTAACTTGTGTTATTGAGGTTATGAATTTCTTGTTCACTTGAATATAATGTTTTGAAGTAACTGCGTCTCGTTTATGATTAGCACAGGTCTTCTGTACAAAGCAGAAGCCTAGCTGTACTGAATGTCCCATGAGAAAGGAGTGCAAGTATTATGCTGAAATCAACATAGAAGACATTGGTATCATGGGTCAGGCTAAGACTCAAAAAAAGTCGGTGAAAGATAAGCAGCAGCAAGTGTTGAAATCAAAAAATGAAAAACAGAAAGGTCTGGAAATCGATCATGAACAGTTCTACCTTGAAGGCAATGTTGAAGCTCCTAAAACTCCAGTGAAGGATCAACCACTCCGGAAAAAGAGACAGCTAGGACAATATCACTCAAAAGCTACTCCTCTAGTTGGAAAACAACCCCTAAAAATCCGGACAAGAACACAACACTTTGTGTAAGTTGGTGGTTTGAAACTCTCATATGCCTTGAATTTACACACAAATCATCCTATGTGATATTGTGATCAGCTTACAATATCATTCTTAGACGATGGAAGGTCTTTTCTAACTAATTGAATCATCAATGCAGCTATGAACTTCCAGATTGGCATCCAATATTAGAACAGGTGAGTGACCATACCTTGTTTGGCAAGTTGCAAGCATATGATTATGGGCTGCAAGCCTGCAACATTTTTAAATATGTCATCGTGACTGTTAAATGGAATGTTATAGTTTGATGACCGGGACCCTGATGATCCATTCCCTTATCTTCTTATTGCATGGGAATCAGGTATGTCATCAACTTGTTTAAATGTTTAATCCTAGACAAAAATGACAGATTTTAGTGCTAATTGCACATGACTTTGATATATCAGTAGCAGTAGCTCCGTTGGCCAATAGTATGCTGTCTGTGGGTGTTAGCCACATAGCAGAGTCTCGGACAGTACTGGGAACAGTTATGGTAATAGAGTGCTAGCTAATGATTTCTAATTAAAACCTGGTTAATTATATAAAGAAGTTTGTGTTTCTAAAACTTCCATATAAACCCACAGATCCCATGCAGAACAGCATTGAGGGGCTCCTTTCCGCTAAATGGAACTTATTTTCAGATAAATGAGGTGCAGTCATTGGAAGTTTGTAAAGATTTTTGGCAGGAAATTTTCACCTACCTAATTGGAATTCTCTGTTGTGATGTTTAGGTTTTTGCTGATCAGAAGACCAGCCAAATGCCAATAGATGTTCGCTGCAAGACATTGCAGCAACTCCCGAAGAAAATACTGTATTGTGGAAGAGATTTATCTAATATTGTCAAAGGTGAAACATGTTTGATTCTGTTATCTGTTTCGTAAGGCAACTGCCTGGATAAATGACCCCTATAAATAGCCTGTTTGATGACTTGGTTTATCTACAGTGTCCTGCATAGAAGTAAATAATTTATATCATATGAACTGTAATTAGAATATTATTTATTGCTCATCAATGGCATCCCAAATTGGGTGTGGGATGGAGAATTCAATGTAAGAACTTGAATCAAATGGCTAACTGAAAGCGTCGTCTTGTCAGGTTTATCAGCGGATGAGGTCAAGAGCCTTTTCAATGAAGGTGCATTGCATGTTCTTATGCTTAATGGGTAAATTGCATGTTAATAATGTATTCTGTCTGATGTTTTTGGAATGTTTCAGGTTATATTTGTACAAGGGGTTTTGACAGGGAAACATTAGCTCCTGTTACTTTAGAAAGGCGATTGCATGCGTTATCCAAGAGTAAAAGGCGAAATTAGGAAGCAATAATGGTGTACATTGCTGCATAATCCTGGTAAAGTGTGACCAAATTTTTGTACTTATAATTTTGGTATCATTGTCCAATGCATTTGAAGACCAGGGATTACTTTTAGGGTTTTACAGTACAAAAGAATTTCAATGATCAAATATGGATTGTTGTTCCTCATTAATGATATGTCATGTTACCGAACATAACATAAATGAGAAAAAGCAAGCAAAAGTGTATAAATGTATAAAATTTCAGATGTATGTAAATCCTTACAATTATATCGTTTAACTTTCCATACTTTTCCCTTCAAAATTAATGGAAATTTTTTTTGGAAATTTGAGAATATCAATATTACTCCTATGAAATTCAATAGTTTTCCTTATTAGACTAACCACTAATTTTGTTCATTAAACAATCAAACAAGTGAAAGCTACTGATCTGGGTTACTTTACAGGAGCCTGAGGTTTATCCAAGATTAGTTGGTCGACTTTTATATCTGGGTATAACAAGACCTGATCTTTCCTATTCAATTCAAACATCTCTCACAGTTTTTGAGTTGTCCCAGGAAACCTCATCTTCAAGCTACATTTCATGTAGTCAAGTATTTGAAAGTTACTTCAGACCTAGGGTTATTTTACGTTGCAGACTCTTCCCTTAGTCTTAATGCTTATTCTGATGCAGACTGGAGTAGTTATCATTTTTCTAGCAGGTCACTCAATGCATATTGTGTATTCCTTGGAGATAATTTGGTGTCTTTGAAGACTAAAAAGTAGAAGACCGTTGGCAAATCTTCTGCCGAAGCTGAGTATAGAAGCATGTCAGCTACTGCTAGTGAGCTGGTCTGGGTAGCAGGTTTGTTAGAGGACTTACGGGTTGATGTTCCTAAACCTGTTAAGATGTTTTGTGACAACAGGTCTGTAGAGTTCATTGCGCATAATCCAGCATTTCATGAGTGCACAAAGCATCTTAAACGAGACTTTCATTATTTCAGGGAACAAGTTGATGAAGGATTTCTCGATACAGTTCATATTCCCAGTTCTCTACAAGCAGCAGACTTACTCACCAAAGCTCTTCCCTCACATCAGCATTATGTCCTAACTTCCAAGCTTGGTCTTCTTTCACAAGTCCAGCTTGAGGGGGGTGTATGAGAGTAGCTGGTAATAATTGCTGAGCTGTAATACCCACAAATCTGTGGCTATTAGTGATCTTAGCTAGGAAAGTTAATTTTATTACATCATATTTAGTTTCACATACTGTATATATACCCTCCTTTGTATCACTTCCAGATTAATGCAACATATTATTCTTTGCTTTCTTCTTCTACCTCTTTCTCTCTCTAGAATTAGAGGCTCTCTGATTCACTAACAATTTTGTTCATTAAACAATCAAACAAGTGAAAGCTACCCGTAATAATTTCTATGGTTTACAATTCAACAAGTTTTATTTTTTCATTTATTTTTATGCTAATAAAATTCCCAAAAAAGATTACTACATTGTCTTTGCAGAACCCATTAAAAAAAAAAAAAGGGTGATGCATATAGGTAAGATATAATATGGAGTATATAACTAGTGCCTCCTAAAGTAGTTTTATTGTCTATGTAGTATTATTGTATTGATAAGTGTCCTTCCAATCTAAGAGTTCTAAATACACTTGTAGGCAAGGAAATTTTATGAGTGTTATACATTAAATTAAATAAATTAATTTGGGTTAAAATCATATTAATAATTCATTTTAATTATTTTTGGCCTGCTAAAATAAATAATCCGAATTAATCAAATACAAATCGGGTTATAAATAAATCAAATGGACCAGGTTAAAAGACTTCTAAGTCATTAAATGGGCCAAGTCCAAACCTACTAAGTCCACTCAAGGGGTTTTCATCTCTTATAAATATATCATTCCTCCATCAGTTGAGGGGAGCCAGAAATCATTATCCCCAAGAGCTCATAAAACTCAAACGGAATTCTCTCTAAGATAAGTCAACAAGCACATCAAATTTGTGCCAACTTGTTCAAATACACTCAAACACATTTAAATGGGATTAAGCTTCATAAACCCTAGTTCAGGTGTATTCGAACAACACCCTTGAATAAAGGTTGACATCATCAAACGTCACCCTGCATTCGAATTCAAGTCGACGTCATCAAACATCATCCTACAGGTGTCACACACGTGTCATCATCAAGTTGCAGAACATAATCAGAAGCTTTAGTTTATTATATTATAAACTGTTATATTGTATCCAATTCAAATATGAATACAAATTCATTTGTTACTTTATTTCCCGTCTTTATTTATTTAGACTCGAAATTTGTGTAAACAACACCATTGATAGCAAGTTAGCAACTATGTTATAATGTGCTAATGTGGATAAGCAAGTGGTTGAACACTTGGTGATCAAGCTGCTGCTAAGTCAAGAACATGCAAGTCTCAGTCTACTATAGGCCTATAGCTTTACTCGAGGACAAACACCGAACAGTCGGGGGTGAAGGTAGCCTTCCTAGCAAAGGGATGGCCATGAATACAATTTCACAAGCTTAAATCCAGTAGATCTCAACATGATTATTTAAAATTTTATTAAAAAAAAATATATATATATTAAACTGTACATCACACAGGTTTAAAATAAGTATATCTTAAAGTTGATTGGCTTGAAGCTCTGTGCTTTGGGTTGAATTACACATGCTCACTATAATCAGAGAGAAGGGAATCCTGCTCATACCCCTGCAATAAAAAATTACACATTGTCACATATCAAATTAAGTGAATTTCACAAAATTCAGAGATTAGCCTTTCACATAAAAAGTACTGTACACAGCCTCAAATCAGATCATAAACTTAAACAACTTAAGTGATTTCAATAGAATATAAAACAAAAAAAGGTCATTAATAATTACCAGTTGGACCAATCGCATTGGATCTTTGCACTCCTTATTTGCGCAGGGAAGAACTTGTCCATGACTTTGAACAACACATTCTTGTCAAATGAAATTATTATCAGAGAACTTGTGATGACGATAATAAGGATGGTTGCCCACAAGGACTTCGGAGATATAACGATATATACTTCAGTCATAAATGCCACTAAGGTGAAGTTGAGTGCCATCCTAAGTAACACCATGCTTCGATCTATCAATATCAGCGACTTACTAGGTTCGTAGACCATGGACAATGTGAGACAACTTAGCACCAACATTGAAAAAACCAAGGCTAATGTATCTGATATCAAAAACACAATAAAAGATGCCTTCTTCCCCAAATTGCTTCACCCGTATCTTGATTGAATCCACCTGGGAGAGTGAATCCAGCAGCGAATATAATGGCGGTCACTAGAGCCACGTAAATAAAACCCATGTTTGAATTGAAATTGAGATACTTACCGTGGGCTTTACGCAATCAATCGGATCAAACAATGATGTTCGCACATCTAACAGATTAGTCTTATGTTGGAAATATGTTGTTTTTATACTTAGATCAAGTCCGTTTCTTTGGCACATGAGGTCCTGTAATAACAATTTGCACTAATCATTGATCATACCATTTCACTCTAAACCAAATAATAAAGCAATAATGTCTTTTTGAAGCAATTACCAGTTTACCACCATTAGATCAGATCATGTTCATGCATGTAAAACGTCTTAGACCTTAAATTAAACTTGATCAACTTTACACGTACTTTAGCATTGCAAAAGAAAAACTACTCAACAAATTTTACTGAATTCCTCCAGTTTTTTTTTTTTTTTTTTTTTACGATGAATCACTTTTTAATTTACGGACTCCTATGCAATTTTTGGAGTATTGAGACAAGGGACCAATGTGATATGAGAAAGATAGAGAGAAAATTATACTCCCTCCGTTTTTAAATATTTGCTCCACTTTTCATTTTTGTCCGTCCGTTTTTAAATATTTGCTCCATTTTCTTATTTGGAAAGCTTTTACAGTATCTAATTCATTTCTCTCGTCAGGGACCAATGTGATATGAGAAAGATAGAGAGAAAATTATACTCCCTCCGTTTTTAAATATTTGCTCCACTTTTCATTTCTGTCCGTCCATTTTTAAATATTTGCTCCATTTTCTTATTTGGAAAGCTTTTACAGTATCTAATTCATTTCTCTCGTCAGGGACCAATGTGATATGAGAAAGATAGAGAGAAAATTATACTCCCTCCGTTTTTAAATATTTGCTCCACTTTTCATTTCTGTCCGTCCGTTTTTAAATATTTGCTCTATTTTCTTATTTGGAAAGCTTTTACAGTATCTAATTCATTTCTCTCGTCTAGTGGACCCAACATAAGTCATATTTTATTAATTTCATATTCCCTCTCCTCCAATATAATTCTCTCAACTACTTTTGTTTTTTATAATTTTCTATTCTTCTATCTACCCCAATACCTCCATATCCAGTTCTCCTAAAACTCCGCGCATGGAGAAATAGAACAAGTATTTTAAAACAGATGGAGTATTAACTAAAAGGAAAAGTGATATATCTACAACAATGGAATAGTAAAATGATACATTATGTATTGGTGATTTTATACCTACCTATGTAGATCAAGTATTTATATTATTCCTTCTTTGATTGACATTCGTGATGCAATGGTGTATTACTATATACTCATTTCATTTTATATACATATGTGCAGCTTAACCATAAAAACTAATGAGTGCATGCGCTTGTCAATGAGAGAAGTTGCGGAAAAGAAAAAAAAAAAAAAAAAAAAAAAAAAAACATATCCATGCATCATCTTCCTTGCATAGATCATAGATGTGCCAGCAGATCCATGGCAGTTACAGCTTGTTCGTCCTTGATGTCATATATTATCTTGTCAATGTTGAGCAATGTTTCTGTCAAGAATATATCTCGTCTTTGTATTGCTGCTCTATGTAAAGGTGTTTCCCCTTGGAGATTTTGAACATTGATAAAATCTTTCACGCGTTCAGTCTTGAGAAACTCCTCATAATTTGTCAAACATGGGAGTTGTATATGATGCAGCGGAGAATCCTTATATTGGATACAAAGTTCTCGAAACGTTCCAACGTTATAGTCAATTAAGGCATAAAGAGCTGAGACGTGACCGTGCT